GAAGCAAAACTCACCGGCTGAGAGATGACAGTGATCAGCGCCGTTTTCACGGAGTTCTAATGAGAATAGATAATATAACTTAGCTAGAGTACTCGATCATCAGTGACAGCTCCAAAGCGTATATTACTAACTGCGATGCATATTCCCAGTGAAACTAGCTTGTTCCTTTCTGGGGAAATATTCTGCCTTTAATGTAACGACACTCAGCGCGCATGCACGCTTCAAGCAAGTTTTTCCGTGGGCCCATTTGAATTTGGATGGTATGCGCTTTTCTCAAGACAATTCCTACCATCCTGTCTTGTATTGGACAAACGCTCGAAATGGCAATATCACACCAAAAACGCAGCCGACGCTACTCTCAGCCTCGCAAACCCGTCTGTACTCCAAGTGCTTGGATGCGTTAGCCGTGGCTACCTTACTTCATTGCAATGGTGCTCTGAGCACGATGGGAACAGTTGTCTCAAATTCGAGTATTCCACAAAGTTTCTACGCCGTGCTAGAATGACCGTTGGGCGACGCCTACCGTGTCACGGGGATATTGGCATTTATGTGTTCAGCAAGCCTTTTGAGACAGTCCCTCCCTCTCGAGCAATTCGTAGGCGTCCTCGTTCTACAAGTAGTCTGGCTCACAGCCTTCCACAAAAAGACTGTTCAACTTCGCGGCTCCATAGGAAGTGACGAACGCGCTCCGGAAAACTCATCTAGGAGGGCTGCCTAGTTCCTTACATAGGGGGTTCTCTATGATATTCTTTTCTTTTTTTCCTGCGTGGAGGGTCACTTGGAGACTACAGGCTTGTTTTGTTATTGAACACCACTACCCATAATACGCAATACGAGGTTGTCCTTGAGTGGGCACAGGCTTCTCTTGACACCAGGGCACATCATTGGTTGGGGATTTTAGTCGAGTCCGTACGACCCCCCCCCTGTTTTTGGGGCGGGGAGGGGTGGGGTAGATGTAAATAGCACATGTGAAACAGGAAAAGCCGCGAGACAGTACGACCCCGCTCCCTCCCCCCCCCCCTTCTACCAATCTACCAATTCTCAGATTTTCCCCAACTTCCTGCCACTTTTTCCAAAATTTCCCGAAAACTTCCCTACTTTTTCCCAAAAATTTTGCTGTCGAGCGGGTGGTATATAGTAGGCGTAAACAAAAAAAAACAGGATAATCATGAAAAAACAACCACCACTCCTACAAGGACCAGAACAGTACCTACCCCCCCCCCCTCCCAACAATGAGCAAGTACGACCCCCCCCCCCCAACGTCCGTGAAACGAGAAAAATCAACTATCAAAATAAATTTTTCTCAGCCCAAGTACGGCCCTGCTTGACACCTACTGTGCAGTGCTTGAACTAATTCGTGCGAATTTGCCGCTTAGCTGGCGATCTTTCCGAACAATCAGTTGTGAAAAAAAACCCCGAGAAAAAAACTAGAAGAAGCTCCAAATTTATACCAATTTTATTGATCGGGAAGAGTAGTCGATAATTCTCTTCGTTCACGTTCAGGAGACGCGACATCGAAACGTATCGACGAAATGCTTTTTTTCACATCGAAATTCAGTCGTGAGCTTTCGGTATAGATTTTTTCGTTTTCGAATGATGACATGAAATGTAAATGCAACGGACCAATGCAATCGAATTGAAGAAGGCCGCTATGTGAGGAAAATAATGGATAATCGCCTTTGCAAAATCCTAATATTCTCTCGAGACGTATGTTCACTCGAAAACCCCGTGATGTGGTAGGCTTGGCTGCGATCTTCAACTAAACGTAGCGGTAGCTAAGCTCTTGGTAGGTGTTTCCTTGATGAAGCAATTGTCGTGTCTGTTCCCAATACAGAGCAAGATGGCAGTTGTCTCAAATGAGATATCCCACGAGTAACCCATTCTGTGAAGGACCGGATGCTACGCCTACTCCGTCACAGGGATGAGGGGTGTACGAAAAAAAAGTCGGTTTACCGATCCAGATGTGCACGTTCCGGTCATGTAATGCAATGTAGCTATGTGCATCATTGCCAGAAAATGGTTGGGATAAATGGATGACATTCCCAACCACACCACCTTCCGCTTTTCTCTACTGTGTAGTAAGTCAAAGGCAGTTGGTTCGATAAATTCCTAAGACCCGAGTAGGATTAATACGCCTGGCAGGACGGAATTCCGCGACTGAGCAGGCGCTGCGTAGCGCCTTTTCCAAGGAAGGTACCCTTATAAGGCCCTATCAAGCTACAACATACCGACCCGAACGCCCACCACGCGCCCGCCCACAAATGGACGACCGTACCTGATGCTCGTATTGCTTCATTTGCTAAAGTAAAATATGAAGCGAAAGAGATCAGGCTGTGAACGGCTGGCGAAATCCGTGGATGCTGTCTGTGCACACATCACCATATCTAAAACCGTAGGTATAGTAAGCCTAACAGGGAAACCTTCCGAAATTAACTTCTCAACCTACAGGTCGAAGTCTTCTGCGACAATTTTTTTTGAACCGTTATCACATCGCTTTTCGCCATTTCCAATTAACAGCTCCCTCTACCATTAGAACAACAGAGTACATACTCAATCGGCCCAAACTGACCCTTTAAGCAGCCACTCACTCAAATTAACCACCCGGGCATCTGCAAGATTTGTGATCATAAATGACACCGTGAAGACAAGCTAAGCAGTAAAATGGTCATGGAATACTGTGTCAACAAGTGGTCTCCGGGAAATTCGAATAAAAAAAATCAAGAAAAAGGGTCGGAAAGTGGGATGTATGGCACAACCATTGAAACGAAAGTACTGACCGTGAGGAACAAAGTCTGAGTGCAAGAATTGTTGACAACATAATTTCCAATTCAGTTCGCAAATTCACAGTACGTACCAGTGCATGGACTATTTCGTGAGACAGAGCGCCTCCGAAACAGGAACTTGTCAGAGTATTTGCATCGTTTGAACCCGAAAATCCCCTTATAAAAATAGTAGACCGAGCGCTTTCGATACCCTTTCTACCTTTCGTTTCGTGAGCGTTGCCCCACATCCGATTAAGCGTCATCACATCAACTCTTTTTTATGATAGATCAATGCGAAAGCTCTTTTTGAAATTAATTTTTATATAACGGAACCGTCAAGGACCATGTTTCTCTGATTATTTATAGCACACAGTAGCGGACCTTGATTAATACTTGAAGTGGCAAACCTAAGTCATGCCTTAAGGTCAGATTTCGAAATGTTCTGTTGCTACATCTTCTCGTGCCAATGACGGTGGTTTCCACTTTCCCTTGATCAATAGCACGGGCCGCCCTGCTGGAAAATCCCGAAAGGCACGATCTCACTATTATACTCTGCCTAAGATATCCATCAAATGCCAACTTAGGTAAACCTCTCCGAAAGGAGTCCCAGCCCGCCGCCTAGAGGATGGAACACCTGTGGGGATACATTAGTTCGATCTACCCTAACAGGGAGTAGAGGGGCTATTTTTGCGTTCTCTTTATCAGTGGGAGCTCATGCAGTTGACATCTGTTAGGGAGAACCACCTTCTGACACTCCCACCGTAAAGATCCCAACTTCGATTCCTTTTTGCTTAGCTGTGTCGGCAACAGAACACCACTATGATGAGTGTACCTGCTGTGTTAGCAGGGCACATGCTGCATCAGAGAAAAATTTTACAAAGTAGGACCCCTCCCCCCTAGGAACTTCTCTCTTTGGGAGCGATCCTCTCCCCCTTCCCCATCCTAACTACAGTTTTCCCAGGTCCATCCAATTCTCCCAACTTCCTATCAGTTTTTAAGCTCTCTTCCACTGTCTCCATTTGTTCCCAGAAAACTCGTCATTGTTGGCGAGGAGTAAAAGGTAGTAGCGCACGCGATACAGGGTAAACCTAGAAGGGTCAACAGATGAAAACATTTCACGCGAAGGCAAATACGACTCCCTTCTCCCAGCGACGAGTATGACTCCCCTCGCTGGGAGTCCCTAATGTACGACGAGCCCTGCGTGAGAGCACTACTCCCTCGCCAAAGAAGAACGAGCTCCCTCGCACAATGTGTCTCCATTTTACCACCTTCAATCGAAATCGGCTCACGAGCCGGGTGAGGCACCATCCTCCATCTGTTATAAGAACTGGTAACAACGAAGAACATTCAGGGGGGAAAACCATCTAGTGATGACTACGACTGCCTTTCCCGCACGGGTCGGATACGATCCCTCTCGATGCGATTCTTTCAACGATGCGCCAAGTACTGGCTCTTCCTGTTCTTTTTGACCTGTTTTCCTTTTTTTGTGAACATACCTCTTGCCTGTCTGAATTTCATAGTCAGATTCAATAATTTTATGATTATGTCCTCTCCAACAGAGTAGATAGGATCTGTTTTCAGATAGTGATTTTTTTCCCAGCATTCAATCGCATACGCAATGACGGAACAGAATACTGTTGTCGGATTACTGTCGGCGACATTAGCCACCGCGCTTTATGGGTCTTGTTATGTACCAGTACGATGGTTCGAAGCTGGTGACGGTAATATTCACAGCATATAACATTTTCCTATACCATGCGGCTCCCAGGAAAAATAGTCTTGTTCCAGGGATGTACTTCCAATGGTTGGATGTGCATAGGCCAACTGATGCAGAGCGGAGATCGGGTGTTGTTGTCGTGTTATCGCGTTCACTGGCTGACGCAACATATATCATTCGCACGATTGGGTCGGAATGTGGGCTTTTGCTATAGAGTTCGTCGTAACGTGAGTATATATGTTTCTATTTGAAAATCCATACCAGAGTCCGAGAAGCGTCGTGTGCTTATGTATGGTGGGTTTACTTCGTTCTGGAATATATGTACTTAAAGGAGAGTGGTGGTCTATCAGAAAGGCACCATGTAGGGTAATCAGGGTCCATACGTAAAGCGTGGACTGGGCGCGATCAGGTAGAATCGGGGTGCAGCTCGGCAATGTATGAATTGGTTGATAGTCAGTTAAATTGTCATTCTATTTGTTCTTATAGAAGGAAACGTAATGGTATTGCATTCGCATGTCTCTTTTTCACCGCTTTGTTTCGGATTTTTCACGTGGATTCTTACCGAATTCCTAGGATTTCACGCCGTTTTTTTCCGTGGCAAAATGGCATCCCGGCGTCGAAGGAGGGGGAGGGGCGAAAATTTGCTAAAAGTCGACAATTGAAAAAAAGAGTTGCTCGAAGTTTCTCAAAGCCACATATGATCTTCGTCGACAAAGTACGGCCACCCCTCCCGATGGGATTGTTCCATCGACACTGTTCCCTAGGTAGTCTGCACTCAAGCAAACCAACGCAAACAAAAGTAGATTATAAAAACTACGGGGTGATGTCATCATAGAGATGATTTCGTCGCAATCAGTGGGGGCGGTTTCAAGCAAAATGGAATGGACCCACTCGCGGCGCTCCTACCACTGGTTATTTTCTTCGTGAATCGAGCACTAGCCGATCGCTTTTGGTAAAGAAGGTCAGTCTCATTCCTCAATCCGCCCTTGGTGACACCGTCCTGCCTGATTACGACGCTATCAACCTGCACCATAATGAAGTCATGTATCCTATTTAAACTTATACTTATACTTATATGTTTAATTTGGAGCACACTTTAGGGAATGCGCTTACCATTACCATAATGGATGGCATAGGAATGGCTGTTGGTTCGTTACTGTGGAATTCAGTAACCTGTGTAGTAGGCTGGGCTGTATCCCGATTCGGATTATTCGGGAGCCTCAAAAAAGTGCCTTACGATAATGTGATGAACATCATCGGTGTCGTTGTCGTCTGTATTGGGTAGGTGCTTATACTTTCTGAACCATGCTGTACATAGCTGTAAGCTATACTGAACGTACCGTAATAACATTTTTATGAGAGTACCGCACCAGTACTAGCATGGCAAGCTGCTGGAAGTGACAAAGTTTTTCGAGAGTACAAGAGGTTAGACATACTGGAAGGCGTGACGGGAAATAATATTTACTTTGATATTCGCCCAAGGCTGCAATGTCCCTTCCGAAAAGCTTGTTACCACTCCAGAGACCAGAAAATCTACATGTAGAAATATGGTAAAATATATTTTATATTTTTGCCTGAACACAGATTTTGGTTTCCTCGCCATAGTTGGTCGAAGGAAAGGGTCTAATGCATTCTTACAACAGTGTACAATTTTTTATCTATACGTTATCACTTCCGTCTGAAGTAGATGTTGTTAATAGGAAGGGTGTGTCGTCTTATTTTTGCCTGGTCTAGTCTTGAGTCCACAAGGCAAGTCTTCCTTCATCAGCCGCAATGGATTTTCGTTGCTCGTCGAAGTCGTCAGAGTGATGCCAAAGCCTACTTCTAATACGATTAACGAAATTATAAATATTTTTTCAAGTAAGTTGCGGTAGCTCTGGTGTGCTTACGATGTTGGCAGGAACTTCTTTTGAATAGGTGTGACGCCTAGACTGGTCATCGTCTTCGGAAGCCTAGAAGTGGTTTAAAGCTCGGGTTTATTCTAGTCCACCAAGCACCTCATTTTTTTAGTGGTTCTGGCGTTTCATAGGAAACGTTTGAACAAAAATCGGAGAAGCGCCGGCATCGCGTATGATGACACGATTCAGTGAGCAATCTTCAGGGTTTTACCTTTTGAACGGAAAAAAAAATTGTTGCTGGCAGATGTGCCAAGCGTTTTGTGATCATCTCGTTTACATGCAGAAATGACTCTAGAGAGGGACCCAGCTGCGAGCGCCACAGCGTTAGACCAGCGACCGATTAGGCAGAGAGAGGAAAGGGAGGAGGGGGGAGAGAACCTACATATACAGTGTGCGCATGAGAGAGAGCGAACGACGTAGTCGGATTCAGAACGAGGGTGGACTCTCATTCCTCTCTGTCTTCACCTTGCCGCTGCTTCCGGGGGTATCCTTCATATTCCTTTATGTCATTGCCTAACCTTCTTGGAGACTTCGTTCTGTTACAGGATTGGGTGCCTCCACACGGAATCAAAGGGCGTTGGAAAAACGCCTAGTTGGAATGGGAGGGCGTTGAGTACTTGAAGAAGACGGAATATCTAACTATAAGTAGCCAGGTCGGCCGGAACTCAACAGGGTGGTCTACAGTGGCGGAGAAATCAACGACCTCGCTGAACTCAGGCACCGAATCACGGTCGCGTGGCAGAATCTCTCGATGGCGCTCGTCCAGAAGGCTGTGGCGGAGCATCGTGATAGTATACAATATGCTGTTGAATATGGTGGTGGAAATGTCCAATCAGAATTCAATTAAGTGTAACTTATAGCGCCTTGAAAGTCAAGGAAGAAAAGTGTCTTTTTTTGCCCCCCCCCCTCTGTTTATGGAGTACCGTCTCATTACTCCATAAACTCAAAACACAGGCGGCCGGCACCCGTCGCGCCTGTCTGCAGCTGCCTTCGCAGACGGGAATCGCTCGGCGTCAACCATCTGCGGCTGCGCTCGCGTTTATAGCTTTGGAGCGTTGTTGCAACTGTAACAGCCCGTCGCCTCGCTTCATCGCGCGCGATCCTCCAACACCGTTCAGTCGAAATCCAGATTTATTCTCATAGGGAGGAGCTTGTACTTTTATGTTTTCAGTTTTTGATAAGGGAAGTACATTAGTAGTTGTTGGCGTGAGTTTGGCTCATGAACAAATGCAGCTCGTCCTTCCGGTGCAGCTCATACCCGGGAAAATCGGCACAGATTTTTCGGGTTTATGGGTCCCAAAGTGAATAGTTTATCATGACCCGTTCTAATTTGCTCTCTGAGATTTTGGTATTATTTCATCATGGCATTTCATCTATTACTTTTGTTCTCATGGACTAAAAATCTACGTAAAGTCGAAATCTGTTTTTTTGTAAGATCGGAATCCATAGGCGTCAACATAGCCTACCAACACGGCACATCCTTTTGCAGTAAACTGTTTTTAGGTCTCAGACAATAAGTCAAAATATATTTTTCACAGGAGTTATGCAAAAAACAGTATCTCTTTCAGAGGATGCTTCTTCGCTACCATAAAACACCATCCAATGACGCCTCGGCCTGCTCCTTGGCAGCTACCGGTAAAACTCTTTTTTGATTTTTTTTCGTTAAATGTTCAAGAGGTGGTACTTTTCTGTTTCTTGATCGAACTACTGTATTTAGCGCTGGAGAATACGCGATTTTTTTTGTATTCTACATCGGGAAAGCTATAGAATAGAAAAGCGTAGAGAGAAATAGAAAAAAACGTGTCATTGGAGAATATACACCTCCACACTTTTTGCTGTGCCGAATTTTTAACCACATCTTTCTCTTTTCATGAGCAATAGGAATTTCAGTCAACGCGGGATGGCGGCGCCACAAAACCCGGCGGAGAGAGAACAATTTCTACTACGAGGAGAATAACGTATGTTGAATTTTTTTAGATATTAATTATAATGAGAATTTCGCAGGCACAAAAAGGTAAACTCAAGTGGGAAGGTTCTATAAGCTCCAGGGTACCAAGCTAGTGAAGAATGCCAGAAAATGCAACGTGCCATTCTATGGAAACACAGATATCAGAAAGTCATAGGAAGAATACTCGGGGACTCTTAAATGAAGCAAGGACAGTCCACAACGAACAGGTTCTGTTGGCCAGGTCAGATCTTCGTCCATATGAACCACTTTGTCGTTCGGTGATTCAAAAAAGCGTCTACTAATGCGTATCTAGACATCACAGCCAATGAACAACCACAGAATGCCCCTAAAGGCATACTCTCGTACAGCTCTGATGATTCGGCACCGAAATGATTGCTTTCGCAGCCCGTATTACAAAGATGGAGAGGGCGTTTCTGCGTACTTGGACACCGCGTAGGACGCGTTTTTCGTAGGATACTTCTAATTGGAATATATGAGATTCTGTCCTGTGCCTGATTGAGGCATGATTACATTCGTCTCAGAACTACAATTTTCTCCTGGACTGGAGCCGCCTCGTTCCAGTGATGCACGCAGCCGCCCCACTTCGCATTTGGGATGTACAGGGGGACCAAAGAAAGCACTTTGACCGAGTCACATATCAGCAAAGTTTTCGCAGCCCAGACAGAGGACGTACGAGTACCAGGGCGGAAGATACCCAAGATGTTCCTCGATAAGCAGGAGCTGGCTCTCGCCCATCACCTTCATGTACACCAAAATATGAAGTCATCTCCAGTCGCAGCCTGACTGGAGAAGACCTTTGGAATTCATGTCACCTCCAAACAGCTTCTAGTATGGAGTCACCCATGGATAGCTACCTGGAGACCAGTACTCTCGATCTGGATGACCTCCAACATCGAGCAGCTCCGACAACGTCGCCACGGTCTAGGACATCATCTTCACCACAGTCGCCAAGGCGCGGGTTGATGGTATGGACCGGACGTACCTGGAATGGAAAGACCGATATTTTCTTCGTGGACCCCGGACTGAAGGTGAGCGCTGGCGGTTACATCGAGCAACTCGAGAAGAATATCCTCCCTTACATGTCGTCGCCCGTACCATCTTGGAAACTTTGTACTGCCATGGGTTCGGTTACCAAATGAAATCGAGGGGCGTTGGAAAAACTCTCGCCTACTTGGAATGGAAGGGGTTGAGTACCTGAAGAAGATGGAATATCTAAGTGTGTCACCTGACCTAAACCCCTCAATTACCCGGTTCGGGCGGAGCTCAACAGGGTGGTCTACAGTGGCGGAGAAATCAACGATCTCGCTGAACTCAGGCACCGAATCACGGTCGCGTGGCAGAATCTCTCGATGGCGCTCGTCCAGAAGGCTGTGGCGGAGTATCATAATAGTATTTAATATGCTGTTGAATATGGTGGTAGAAATGTCCGATTAGAGTAATATGTGTAACTTATAGCGCCAAGTCAAGGAAGAAAAGCGACTTCCCCCCCCCCTGCATAATGTACATGATGCTCTACGAGCCGGTACTGGACCAAGGGCTCTTGTCCCTGTCCTGCAAGGGCAGTTCAGCTTCTGTACTTCGAAATATGAAGGCATACTGTACAATTTTACTTAATAGATTTAGAGGTAGATTCCTCTCGTTGTACCTTTGCTGAGCTCATTTACCCCAAGTCCAATAGATGGAGGCACCACGCTTCTACAATCACATGCCTACCCACCTGGCGAGCGGAAGCTGTCTGCTCTATACAGTCATCTAGTGTTTTTATGTTTAGTCTAGTTATCCTAATCAAAGTTTATATTTTTGGAGCCTGAAAGAAGGTAACTGTCCACCGTCGCTGCTATTTTCTAGCTGTACTTTTTCAATTTCAGCGCCACATTTCTCACTATAGTCACTGGTTTCCTTTACGGAAATATGATGACGCCGATGAACTATATGATTACGCAGGGCGAAGCGTCAGGACATTCGCTCACTTACTCAATATTTTTCTTCTCTTTCTGTCTGGGAGCTTTGGTCACGTCCACGACTATCTTCACGTGTTATTCTTTGTACAGGTTTGTTTCGACGAAAGGACTGATTTGGAGCTGCGATGAAAATTTACATTTTCAGAAGAAACAGACCATTTATCAATCCTGAGCTTACGGTTCCTTCTTTGCTATCAGGCCTGATGTACGGAACCGCAACATTCTTCTTCTTTAATGCCAACCACCATCTTGATCCGGTACGTTGAAATACTTACTTGTCCGCATTATCAATTTCTTCATTAAATACTACTCTCACGACCAAGTATTATGGAGGGGGAGTGTTCAGTTATGAACGAGTATCTGATCAGAGACTTCCCAGTAAAGGAAAATCCCAAACGAAATGCCTCCCCGATAGAGCACGACTAAGCTCAAAACTGCTCCTTATGGCCTGTGATGCGATAGTCAATCTGAAACCTTCATTTTTGACTTCACATCGTCCAATGTTGGACATCAGACCATCATGTTTTCCACTGTCGGTTACATAGCAAATAAGAACAGCTCAGAATGATAGTTCCATCAAAACCAATTTCAATTTTTTCAGATTGTTGCCTACCCTATTCTCGCCAAAGCACCTGGTATCGTGTGCGCAATATGGGCAATTTTGCTTTTCAAAGAAATCAAGGTAATTCACGAATTTTTTAGGTTGGGTCGATTTCAGCTTGTCATGAGGTTCCCATGCTGGCAGGAAAGCGTGTGCACTTCGTACCCGCGGATGGAGTGAGCGTGGCTGCGTACTTCACTTGAGCGCGCGACGGCTGCGCTTCTGGTGGCATATTGCCGTTCTGGGACACTTATAATCACGCCTTTGTTCAGCAAAAGACCGGATGACAGTGTCCACGAATGGAAGTGTACCGCGAAAAACGCATCCTACCACTTTCGAACAGAACACGTAGTCACGCCCTCCCCATCTTCGGGCTATGCGGAGCATGCATATGCAAACTGCCTGAATACTAAACTATCATTAAAGTCGTCAGAGAGGTGGCTATCAGGGAACTTCCTGCTCTACTTTTTTCCTGTAGATGACTATTACTCCCCTCCTCTTGAATGATATGGGTGGACACATTTTCAGTTTGCGCACTAGAGACTGAACAATCTCTGATAGTGTAGCGTGATGTAATATTTCCCCATCTCCACCAGGCCCCGTTTCTTCAGAGTTGTAATAATTTTCCTATACAAAATACAGCCGCCACTTTTCAGGGTCGATGGGACGTTTTGCATTTGGCCGCAGGCGTTTTTGTTACACTTGTTGGAATCACACTTATCACAGTATCGAAGGTCAAATTATAACGTCAAATGTGAAATTGTATCGGGTTGTATTGTGACTGTAAATAATTTGTTATATTGCTTTAAATTAATAAATTAATGGAATAAAGATGTCTCTCCGAAATCCCATGCGTAAGACTCATGGTATGGTTCTTTACTGAGCAAGACCTGTGATCTTTACAGGACTGATTCAGCAGTATGCTGGTAAAGATGTCGTTCAGAGCGCGCATTACTGTAAACCTGAACGTTTCGGAGGGTTTTCTCTTGATTCTTGGGTACCACCTCACTATGTGTTAACAAAAGATTTGTCTTGAGAGATTTCTCCACTAGATGCTCCCAGCGCAAGAGTAGGCATACCGTAGCAAGCTCCAAATTATTAGGTTGATGGAAAGGTTATTGAAATGGGGTTCCCAACTTCGAGTACATAAACGATCTGGGAAAATAGAATCTGTACTAGTTGACGACTTCTCGAAAGAGTGCGTTTTGCCAGTATGCAGAAGCCATGAAATGCAAGTCGTGTGATTTTGCAAAGTGGTAGGAACTAATTTGAAAGTGGTGATGTGTAACTCGAGGACTAATCCCGTTCAGGACAACCACCAGCACCGGAGAATCGATCTCCCTAATAGATTTTGTTGATGTGAAGATTTATTTGAGATCTTCAGGTGTACATCAGAGCCAGTGTTGTTTTCTGAGAAAACCCTCAGAAACAGATTTCATAGGATCACATCGTGTAAGAACACGCCATCCTTGTACTTGGCTGGTTTTCCTGGATCAGGTCGCAGCTTCAGCGGCACCAGTCGCTTATAGAACACTACCATTAGCAGCAGTGCAAATCCTATAGTAACAATCTGTGTGATCATGATGTACTTGTAGCCGGAGTGACGAAACAAGTACCTAAATATCCAGTATTTTCTTACTCTATCGTTTTTTTTTCAGCGGGCCCAGTTGCTGGAGGCGGGCGGTTGTTGCCAACGGCATTGGTCAAAGTGCTGCGAGGGAGCGTTAGGCCACATCCTCACTTAGCCCTCCAGCCAATAATGTTGGCCACCACTGCCCGCCCTCAGCTTCCTGGCCTACTACCTTGGATAAGACCATCACTTTGCTCCTCGAAGGCAGTTCCACGCTCTACCAATTCATAGGCGTCCCTCCTTTTACCGGTAGTCTGGTCCTCTGTCTCTAAGATTATCCCTCTTTCGCGGCTTCACAGTAAGTATACGCGAAATCCCTGAGATCGGGGGTGGGCGTGGCCGTATGCTTCAACTTACCCTTGAGCTGTCTATGCCATCTTGACACAATTGTTGTCGTGTCTCTGTCCAACACAGAACAAGATGACAGTTGTCCCAGACTGGAATATTCCACGAGTAACCAATTCCGTGCCATGTTCAAATGCCACGCCTACTCCGGCTCAGGGATAAGGAGGTAAAAAGGCGCTGTGGCCCTCATAAGTAACAGTTCTGACGCCTCCCCTGTTATCCCATCCACCAAAACTCAACGGCTATGTTTAGTTTTACACCGCGTTTTTCATTTTTCTTTTTCGTTATCAAATGCTGTTAACATTGGATGACTTCAAGGAGTCAGCGGCGGCAGGATTTAGTTTTGCTGGCATAAAAAGGGCAGGTCCGGAAAACTGGTTTGAAAATCCTGCCAGATCCTTACTTGGGGTTTATCTATGCTACTATCCGCATTCAATCGCGAGGTTTGTTTCCATCGCGGATCCCTTGTGAGGGTCCTGTTTTTGAAGCCTCACTGTTCCTATATATTCTGCGAATTGAAAATGGAAAAAAATGCAAACAGACGTTGTTAGGATGGGAGCAGCAAATTGTGACATACTTCCACTGAAAGAGTGTAATCCTTGCATCATTCCCTGGAAACGTGAGCTTTCGACATTGAGACTGTATTTCGCTTTGAGTCAAAAGAGATACACTCTCTGCAGCGGAAAAAGAAAGAGGAATTCTTGTAGCCCTCCTAGTTCTCCTAGTACTGAACGGAGAATAAGCCAGAACAGGCTCTATCGATCTCAGAAAGCAGGGTAGGAGGTAGGCTCACCGACCGTCATGCTCTGTCAGAGGGTTTACTTGATATCAGTTCTGGTACTTTCTAGGAATGAACTCACTCATTATTAACCTCAGACATAATTGAGAATAATTTGTATCAGAAGTTGATTTAGAAGTTGTTTGTATTGGTGCACACATGTAATGCAATGTGAAAATGGTTACCTGTTTCCGAGGCCCGAGGATCTCAGAGTAGAGCGCCCCGGATGGAGAACCAATGAAAGGAAATGCAGCTCCGAAAAAGAAAACGAAGCAGATGAAGTATATTGGGAATGGTACGCGAACAGTGGATGAACACCATTCATATGACGGAAGGCACCCGCCGATTTCCGACGAGTTTTTACCTGAATGGGTAGCAGAACATACCGCCAATCCCAAAAGCTGTGCATTTTAGGGAAGCCTATGGCATCATTGGCTCTCGTACTGCGCCAGACAGGCGAGAAGAAGCTTTTACTCAACAGCGATGAGGAAATAAAACTACTCAGCTTCCATGATTGAGTGATATGAGCAGACTGCATATTACCTGTTGGTATGTATTCAAGTGGTCCTGGGTAAAATGGCCAAGGATAGTTGAAGATATGGAATAACAAGAAAACAACAAGCCCGAAAATAATCTGTTTCCGCTTTTCACTGAAAAGATCTTTCGTGTATGGAATCACACTTATTGAATAGCTTACTATAAATTAAGATAGCAATAACGATCTAACTTTCCTACAGTTTTACAAGGAAAACCCCTTTTCCAATATGTTGTCACTGGAAACCTTTTTTCATGAAAGTAACGTGTTCGTGTTCGTAAAGGTGAAATTGTTTCTAAAGGAGCGGTCCGCGATGACCTATGAAAATGCAAGAGGTTATGTGGGAAGGTAGTGCGGTCCGGAGTGGACAACCCTGTGCCAGTTTCGCGGCGGAAAGTTGTACGGTAAAGGGATTAAGGCGCAAAGTTGCTTCAGTGGTACATCCCTTTTTCCAGTGACTCCGCCTCCAAAGTCGGCCTTCCAGCCAAAAGTAATGCTCCCGGGCAAGTATTGGAGTGGATGCATTCAATGTCTCTTGGGGTATCAGCCGACGGGAATTGTCCCAGCGCGCGGTCTTTTCGGTCTTTTACCTCTACAGTTGTTTGAGGCTAGAGGAGGCCTGACGAATGCGTTTCCAACGTTCCCTTTGGCATTTTCTCTTCATAGATGGTTCACTTGGCGAATTTTCTTCCACATTTCTGCAAAATCACCTAGGCTTTTTATCGCGGACCGTGCCTTGCCTTTAAAGACAAACTGTACACTCACTGAGGACTGTCCCTAAGAAGTATGAGGAAGGTCTGTACACAGTACAATGATGTGCTACTTTCTCTGCGTGAAAGTGCACGAAATGGGGCTGGAGCGTGATGATGCTCGGGTGCCGTCTCAACGCTACCATCAATGCGCAACATTTGCATCGATACGAAAGGTCCGCAGCGAACACGCAGTCAGAGCTAGAAAACAAGCAGAAGAAAGAAGGCTCAGAGAAGTAGCCCGTTTAGCCATGGCTAGACGCGTGGCTCGCCATGCGGGAGCATGGGTAGAATTGGGAGACGTCACTCGGGTATACAACTCTTCAACCCATTCCCATGCATTTCCAAGCGGGGAAAATAGCACAACACTCCAGCTGCACCTATTCATCTCGCACAGGCTAAAATAGGGCTCTTTAGGAAACGCAGCTCGCCGTATTGACTCATGTGGGTATGGAATTTTCTGAGGCGATTCAGGAGCAGTGCACGCTGCCAGGGGAAGTTATACCCTAAAAGGAAAAGAGGAGGATGACCCAATGGGGAAGACCACTCGCGTAGTCCTGACTT